GTGTATGTATGTATATATATATATATATATATATATATATATATATATATCAGGGGCGTTTCCTCCGAGGAAGCAAGGGAGGCAGTGTCTCTTCTCCTCAAAAGTGGATGAGAAAATAATCGATATTACAAAAATAAAACAATGCAAATATGACTAAATATGACATTAAAAGTCTAAAAGTCACTCGTTTGTAGAAAGTAACACTGTCCAACATCGACACCCGCAGGTAAAGTTACAGCCGGAGGCTTGCCTCCCTTCGGTCCATAGACTTTCTACAGAGACCCTAAAGCATGTTGTGACTTTTCTGGAGGCTCATTGAGATGAATGGGGGAAAGTCACGTGAGAGGAGGCAATGCCTCCGTCGCGCTATAATTGGATGTGATTGGTTCGTCTGATAAATCCCGCCTCTTGTTTTCGTGCGAGCTCTCGACCCGAGTGAAGAAAATTATGGCGTTATTGACTAATTATAAAGTAAACAACTCTCCTGCTTAGATATCACTGCTTTGTGTAACATCAAAATGAAACATGAAATGACTTGAAAACGTGATGACTATGTCAGTTTTTAGTGAGCATTCAGCTTGATGAAATGAAAGATGTATCTTCGTGCCTGTGACAAAGTTTACAGGGCTTTTATGACGATGACCCGAAAATAAGTTTACTATTAAAAAGAACACCTGAACATCAGTTCACAAATAAAAAAAACAGAGTGTCTATTTACAAGTGCAAATAGCCCGCCTTGTTGGCAGAGGCTATTTACACTAACTCCGCCCATCAACATGTGATTACAAAGCATTACAAAAGACTATTGTCTAATAACAGCTTCAGTGGTGTAGAAGGTAAAGTACGTGTTGAAATCATTTTTGCAGCGATCTAGCTGGTTTCGAATAAAAAAACTGGAAGGGGCAAAAACCTTTTCACGGCACTGTGTGTGTATGTATGTATATATATATATATATATATATATACTATAGCTATTTGCACTTAGCGTAAACATTAAGTGTAACAAGGACATGAATTATATACATACATATACACACTGTATATAACTGCCTCCTCATTTTAAACACCACCGCACACCACTGAGATATATATATATATATACTCAGTTGAGGTCTCGCATCTTGTGCTTGAATGCTTTAAAATCTCTTGAATGTTTACATTGGCAAGGCTTAAAAACACATGCACATGATAAGCTTTGGTGATGACGTGCAGCAGTGGCCCGTCAACTGTCCTGAGCGTCTTTTTAGAATGGCCTCGGGCAGTCTGTTGAAATCGCCGGGGGCCCCTATAATCGTCACCACCTTTCACCCCACTAATGTCGGCTCTGACACAACATAAACATGAATGAACATCAGAAGGTGTGAAATATAAAGAACTTACTGACATGGATTCTCTCTCGTGTAATTGCCCAATCAAAGTGTTTGAATAGCGAAATGAAACAGCTTATAAACAAAACAACGTCAAAGTCAAATTTACCTCAGAAAAGCCATTCAGTTGGATAGCTTGTTAGTTAGCAACCGGTGCATGGACAGTTTGTGCCGCATACAAGGGCATTAACAGATGGACATCTTCACACACATTTCACACTATGTCGTTAGATTGCACGTTAGATTTGGCAAGGGAATATTTTCAGACAAGACTTACATGCCTCATAATCAAATCTGAATAATTATATGTCATTACAAACTTGCCAAAGAAGTTATTTTGAATCATCTCACAAGAATAAAGAGCAAATACATGAATTATGAATTCAAGGCTGCTAGGAAGATGCAGACATTTAAATAACAATGGCATTCTCCATCTATAAAATCCAGCGGACAGCTTCTGTTTGGAGCCCCATCAGTTATGTGACTCAGTGCACTCTTCTGTAATTAACTGCACAGGGTAAAAAAAGTTCAAAAAGTAAAAATTTTTTTAAGGAAATCAAGAATTTTATTCAACAAGGATGCAATAAATTGATCAAAGTAAAGACATTTATAATGTTACAAAAGATTTATATTTTCTTTTTTTACCAAACTTTCTATTCATCAAAAAAAATTTTTTTTTAAATGTACCACGGATTCCAAAAAATAAACAAATATTTACCAGTGCAACAGTTTTCAACAGTGAAAATAATAAGTAATGCTTCTTGAGCACCAAGTCAGCATATTAGAATAATTTCTGAAGACTCATGCCCTGAAAACTGGAGTAATGGCTGCTGAGAATTGATAATAAAATACATTTTAAAATATATTAAAATAGAAAACCAAAAATAGTATGAAATAGTTAATTTAAATTTTAAAATGACCATATTTAAATATAGTGTATTTATTGCATTTTTTTATCAAATAAATGCAGCCTTTGTGACCAATAAAAAAATCGTATTATCCTTAAACTATAATGTATAGTCAGAAGGTCAATATGGGAAAAACACAGGTGGGATGATCAGGACCCAATTATGGCTCAGAACAATCTTCAATAACCATGAGTCTGTTTATTTTGCGATAACGACTGACTAATTGCCTCTTTTTTCCCCGCAAAATCAACATTTATTTTCAAATAAATAAGATACAGTCAAAGCACTCATATTTTCTCATCCAACTTCATCTCATTTTTATGATAATCCATAATCCAAATGCTGCCTAGAGCTTAATAAGCCTCAGTGAAATCATCAATCTCTCTAAACTGCACTTTTCCCAAACTTTCTATATAACATAGCACAAGTCCTTTTTGTTTTACATTACAGGTCCAGTCCATCAACAGAACACATGACATGTGAAACAAAAGAGTCAAACGGTTACAATCACAGTGACTGACATCTGACATTAGGAATGAGGAAGCAATGGTGGAACAGGATGCTGGGAGATGTAGCTGACTGGCTTTGGAGAAGCATGCAGCAAAGGGCAGAACCCACCTTCTCCGCTCCCCGGGCCGATCTCTGTTACAATCTCCATTAGAGAATTTAGCCCAAATACTGGACACAGAAGCCAGAATTAGTGCATGGGGTCAAAGAGGGGACAGAGAACAACACCGGCCCAGACAGAACCAGTCCAAACATCAACCCACAACCACAAGCACCGGACACATGTACATATACAACAGAGAAAACCAGCAGAGAGCATGGAATAAGAGAAAGAGAGAAAAAGAGAGAGAAAGACTGAAATCAGAAAAAATAAGCATTTCAGCCTTCCATTTGGTCAGAATAGCTTGTGATTTGGGAAGTCTTGATTAATTGCGATTACATGTGATTAATGATAGAATGAAGCCATTCTACAAAACTCCATTCATAAAAAGAACAAAAACTAAATGGCATATAATAAGCAGAAATATTAATTAAAAAATGTTTCAGCTCTATACAAGTAAACTGTGATTTTAAAAATAATTTATAAATGAACTGAAATATTTGTATTTTTAAAGTTGCCATGTAATTAAAAATGTCACTCTATTTTGAAAATGCATGTTATACATCTTAACTTGAACAATTAATTTGTGCATGTTTTCATTTTTTAATTTTTTTATCAAATGTCATATCTGAAAACACCTTCTCTTAGGTGACCAAGCAAGACTTCTCTAATAATTTAGTCCAATTAAACATAACAAAATCGACTGCAAGTTGCATTATTCTTAAAATCCAACTAGCAATCAATGAACAGAACCAAGTCCCCATTTTATAATTTTTTCCCTAAATAATTCATTATATTGGGATGTACAATCCAGATGTTGCTCCTTCCGTTTCATCACAACTTTAAAGGAATGATCACATTCAACATGACATGAAAACTAGATTCATTTCTCTCAATGTGAGTTTTTAAAATCAGGATAGTTATAATTCTTTGCTTAATATTGTTATATCATATTTGTATTTTCTGTGAGTTTTGATGCTGTTTGAGAAATATGAAATCTGAAGAGAGCAAAAAATTACTTTTAGGAGACAGCAAAGGGGGCACATTTTTTAACAGAATTATATTAAATTGATTATTTTTTTATTGTTAACGAAAACAAGGCTAAAAGCACCTTCTTCAAACTGGCACAGTAAAACTGCTGGAAGGACTGTCTGGTCGAAGGGTGTGCGTGTGTGTTTACTGAACATTAAAAGACAAAAATCATTACCAGTCGACATGCTAGCTGGAACGCAGTGTGCTTTTGTGTCCTGGAGTGCTCTATTGGGTTTCTCCTGTACCCAGCTTTAAAAGCAGCAATACTACTGCTCTGCTTAAAGCACCACAATATCTGTGCGCATAGAAGCTACAATCCTTGACATAACATCGATTTATTTTAAAACACCTACACAACCACCAGACTTCAAAGTCTCCTTTATCGAGACTTTGGTGGAAACCCATCTACCAAGTTTAGTAGAAACTACATTTCAGTTCTGAAGCTGATCAGAGCTTGAAATGTACTGAGTGGCTGCACTTCTCCCAGCGTGGTTTTGTTATCTTCAATTCACCCAGAGTTCAGGTGGAATTGAAATGGAACAGACCTCAACTCTGTCTCCAACTGAGATGACACACAAATAAAGGAAAAAACACACCGCACACAACACAAAGAGCAGTCAAAAATCATCTCATTCCATTCCTACGGAAACATCCTTTCTGTATAGAAAGAAAAAGGTTTTGAAATGCAACCACAAACTGGCTGTTGTCTATTAAGGTGCCACCATTATTATGTTCATTACTAACAATCACAATAGGAGGAGAATAGGAGGAGGAAAGGCATAGTGGATATATGTGAGCACAGATATATCCTCTATCTTAGAGGTTCCAAACTGCTGTCCCACAAGATTTTATTTTCCAACCCTGAAATAGCACACATTATCAGTTCATGACAAGTGCTGTTTGGCGCTAAAGTTGAGATTCAGGGGTGTAAAAGGAAGCATCAAGGACAGGAGTTAGGAGTTTCTCATTCTCTCAGGACTCAAAGGGTCTATATTACTATAAACAGCAACTGGTTTCATCATTAGGGCAGGCTACAGATATGAAACATACCAGGACTCTCAGGACTGTCATCAGCATCGTCTGAGCAATACAATCATCCAAAATCATAAACAAACAGAAAATAAAGTCAACAATAACAACAACAGCTATAAGAAATGTGGTTGCTAGCTTAGAAAGTGACTATGTCTATGCCACTTTTTTCCACTAAATCAGTTTCTTCACAGTGCAAAAAGGAGGCAAGATATTCATCACTTTCATGGCAGCAACACTGGATAAAAGACATGTGGGGCAAAGAAATCAGGCAATATTCCCACAAACCTTGATCTGTGTCCTCTGTTAAATCAAAATTAAAATATTCTTTAAAAGAAATACAACAAATCATAAAGGAAGAAGAGGAAAAAGTAGAACAGTGAAAAGGTTGGAGCCTTTCTAAACCTAATGCCTGTACTAAACAGATGTAGTGTTAGTCTTCCTTAAACTACAGAATTACTGTAGTAGAATTAACATCTACTTATTTGACCCTTAAATTACTTGAATTCAGTGGAAGTTATATAATAAGTTCAATCTAATTGGAGTGATTCATCCATTAGTCACACTGCCTTCGTAAAACCAGAGGTAAAAAAGAAAGATGAGGAAAGGATTTGGAGAGAAGGAGAGGAGGAAGAAGAAGAAGAAGAATAGAAGATAACTGGACTAGACTGGAAAAATGAGACGGGGCGAAATGGGTGGATGAGCGAGACGGTCGCATGGATAGATCCGAGAGGATGTATGTACCTTTGAGGCTGGGGAATGGCGTGTTCTTCTCTCGAGCTTTATTAGGCAGAGCCAGACTGGACAGACTAAAACTGGTGCCATGGTTTTTATACAGGTTACCTGCACACATACGATTAAGGTGAGACGTACAACAGGGAACACACATTTCTGTGTAACACTGTGTCCTAACTACACGAGACGCGACAAACAGTTTGGGTGCCCACACTCGATGTGACGCAGCACCGCGACCCGATAGAATCAATCAAATATCACAACCAATCAGAAGCGTGAGTGGGCGGGCTCTCTCTGGAAGCGTTCTGCACGGATAAGTTTATAATCCAATTCATAAATATTAAACCTTTTTAACATTACTAAATGTACATACTGAGTGACTGATACCATCTTTGTTATGGAATACGCTTGTTGGTTCGCAGTGAGTCAGTTTTAACGGACATCTTTGCTTTAATTTATTATCTGAGGTAAACTGTCTGTTGTTGCTTTAAGTATGTCTATAAATGCCACGCAATATGATAGTCAAACTCACATTAGACACTTTTAACACTGAATAAAGCACAATCTGTACCTGAGATTATCACTGTCATTAGTTTGTATGTTGTTGTTCTAGCTGCGACGTCGCGGAAATAGAAACCGTTTCTAAAATAGAAATTTCATGTGTCGCCGTTGTGGCTAGTTAGGCCAAAACCTCAGATTAACATGGAAAAGATACCTTTTATCGCATCGTGTCGTGTGTAGTTAGGACACGGTGTAATGCAGGACCAATACCAGTGAACTTTTACAATGTTCAAACACTTAGGAAATGCTAAAATTCCACTGAAGATATTCTGATATTTAAAAAGTCAATATTAATATACACTATTGCTCAAAGCTTTTGTTTTGGAAACAAGGCACCTATGCTCACCAAATCTGCATTCATTTAATAAATAAATAAATATAGTGTGTATAAAATTGTGAAATATTATTATGTAAAATAATTATTACAAAATAATTCATACATACAATATAATATTAAAATAAAAAATAATCTACTTAAATAGATTTTTTTATTGAATTTATTGCTGTTATGACAAAGCTGAATTTTCAGCAGCAATTACTCCAGTGTTTAGTGTCACATGAAAAACTTTTGTTTACTGTTTTTTTTATCAAATCCTTAAAAACAAAATGTACTGATCCCAAACTTTTGAAAGGTAGTGTATTAACAAATATTAAAGTTAAAAGAATGCAATGTAACCTAGTATTTCTCAATTCTGTTAGCGTTATTTCTAGCTTTTGTCTAGACAGAAAACGTGTCCAAAAAATCAAGCAAACATCTTCAAACATTAATGTGTGTTTTCAGTATTTTTATGTCCAAATTTGCAACGTGAGCATGAGCTACTAAGGAATGAATAGAGGTTATGTTAAGCTGGCCACTCACTGGCGAAGGACATGAGTCCCCCGAAGCCATCGCTGCTATTGTTGGAGATGGAGTTCGGAGAGCTATTTCTGGAGTCTCCCTCCCCATCAGATTCACCCGGAAGCTTCAGGCTGCTGGGTCTCAATGGACGAGACGGTCTAAACACACACACACAATTCAAGGAGAGGATGTTGAGAGCTGGTCTGTGCAGCTGATATATAGATTCTGAGTGTTTGCGTAGGATTATCTCCAAGTACATACTTGTTGCCATTGAGATTCTGGTTGAATCGCGGTGTGTAACTCTCCTCTTGCTCATCTGCTTCAGTATCCTCCTCTGAAGGGAAGCCATACTGGGGCTCAAAATAGGGATTATCATACTCTCGCCTTTTATTGGCTGGGTCAACAGGGACCAGATCAGGAGTGGGTCTTGTAAAAGGTGGAGCTCCCAATCCTGGGACAGCGTTAGGGAGGGTTACGCCTGCAGTCGCCTCAACCTCAGCAGGTTCCTTCTGTTCCTACACAAACAAACACACACACTCTTTACAGATCACAGCACATTATGCTTACCTCTAGATTCAGATAACATGTAGTTTGAGGACGGACATGGTTGACGCCCTGTATGACTGTACTGGGGCTGGAACTGGCCGTCGTGCTGGAGCTGGACCGCAGTGGCTGGCTGTCCGCTGCTTCCGGGGGGGCTTCTGGATCTGGGTCACCGTTGTCCCCCTTATACTCTTGGAAGTCATGGATCTCTACCTCATCCGCGTCTCCCAGTGCAGCATGGGTCAGGGTGTCAACATCTAGAAAGAGTGTAAACATAACAATTATGAAGCCATTACTGGTAAGAAGAGGTAAGAGGAAGAATCTATTGTCAGGAAAGAGATTAAAAATGGAGAAGCTAACTTGGTGTGTCCCCTTGTATTTCCCCTTTGATCATCTCATTTACAAAGTCTCCAAGAGACGAGTAGGAAGAGCTGGAGTCATCGTATGCTTCACTGTCACTGCCACTGAAATGAACAGCAACAAATAATATAGTCTAAACAGACAAAAACAGTTTAAACACAAAAATGCATGCGTGTAAAAATTTGTAATATTTTTTCGAAAGAAGTGTCATATGCTCACCAAGCCTGCATTTATTTGACCAAAAATAGTTAAAAACAGCATCGTTTTTAAAATATTTAGATTTAAAATACAATTTTAAAATGTAATTTTATGATGGCAAATCTGAATTTTCAGCAGCCACTACCCCAGCGTTCAATATCACATAATCCTTCAGAAATCATTCCAATATTCTGATTTGGTGCTTATTTCTTATTATAAATGTTGAAAACAGTTGTGCTATATGTCAGGATTCTTTGACATATAGAAAGTTCACAATAAGAGCATTCATTTGAAACAGAAAACTTTTGTAACACAGGGCTCTAGAGTGTGACCTAATTTCTCAATGGTGCGACTAAAAAAAATCTGAGGTTGCACCGGTGCGGCCAGCTGTTCGAGGGGAAAAAAAAAAGTCTCCGCGACTATGAAAGTCTCCCTGTGGTTCAACAACAGACACACATTAGGCCCATATCGTGGTCTAAACCAATCAGAGATAGTGAAGGGCAGACCCCCCCCTCTGATTGGCCGTGGTCCAGATATTCCTGTACGTGTGTGTACGTTAGAAAATGCGTGTGCTGCTGTCACACAGAGAGAGGTGAGTAGCCTAAGCCCGTCAGATAAACAGAGTGGATGTAGCCGCAGATGATGAGAGAAGATGAAAAGAACAATTGACAACTTTTTCGTTAAGAATTCGTTAAGGCCTGATCCGTCCAAAAATCATAACCAATACTCTGACACGGAGCCATCAACCTCCCAGGCTATGTCAAGCCCTGGTCCGGAGACGGCATTAGATAATGAGCCACATACGATCGAGTCCGAGTCCGAGCCCACTGAAATTAAAAGGGGGAAGTGTATACATTTAGAAGAGAGTGGCTTGACCAATTTCCCTGGCTAAGATACAGTAAAGCCGACAATATAATGCACTGCATTTACTGTAAATAGTGTGGGAAGACCATGGTCGGCAATAGTGCATTTGTGACTGGTTCTAATACATTTCGGATTGAAACGCTGAAAAAGCACAATGCATCTATAATAGGGTGACCATACGTTCCATTTCCCAGGACGTGTCCTGGCCAGGATATAGAAATATAGAAATCCTGGCCAGGACGCTTCCTGGGAAAATGGCACGCATGGTCACCCTAATCTATAAAACACATTACATGCCACGATAAATACACTGCCCAAGTGTCCCCTCTCCCCACTGCCTTTCAGCGGCAGGCAGCAGCAAACAGATCATCAGACGAGGCCGAGATGATAATCAAGTTTAACGTTGCCTACAATATTGCAAAAGAAGAACTTCCCTTCACTAAGTTCAAGTCCGAAATAATTCTTATGAAGAAAAATGGCTTGAACGTAAACCCGACGTACAGCAATGATGTTGCGTGCGCCCAATTTATAGGAGTCATCGCCGATACATTGAAAAAAAAAAAAGACGTCTGTGCAAATTGCGAACAAGTAAATGGTAAATGGGAAGTAAATGGTATTATCGTTTTTATTTGTTTAATTAGGAATTTATGCTGCCTCAAAGAAAGCATTTGCCTTTGAGGGACCAGTGCAGTAACTGGCTGGAGAAAATCATTGCTCTGGGTGCTGATGGTGCTGCTGTTAATTTGGGCAGCAAAGGGGGTGTCATATCCCTTCAGCAGCAAGAGGCAGGTGACCACATTGTGCCTTTCCACTGTATGCCTCACAGGCAAGACTAGAACTTGTAAAACTGCAGTGTTAAATGCGATGCGGTCGAAAATTTGGGTGCACCTAAGAAAAAAAGTTAGGCGCACCAGTGCAAAAAGTTAGAGAGCCCTGTAACACTATAATAGTCTTTACTTTCATTTCTAAACAACTGAAAATATATGCTTGCTGAATAAAATGATTTATTTCATCATCTAAATTCTTGAAAAAAGAAAAAATAATAATTTGTGTATGTATATGTAAAAAAATTATTAAAAAAATGTGTGCATGAGTTTAGGTAAATGTGTATAAAGGTCAATGTGTGTTAGTGAGTACAAAGTATGCAAGGATGTTTTCAACCTGTCATCTGTTGGGTCTGAATCATTGGTCTCATCCTGCAGGGGTCCACTCAGCGCCTCCGCCAGACGAGAGCTCCCATCATAAACACGGTAGAATACTGGCTGTAACTGGTGGGCATACCACTTAGGCTTATCGCCTATTAGAGAGGGGTCATACACATCTGAAACACACACACACACACAATAATAATTTGTGTATGTATATGTAAAAAAATTATTTAAAAAATGTGTGCATGAGTTTAGGTAAATGTGTATAAAGGTCAATGTGTGTTAGTGAGTACAAAGTATGCAAGGATGAGTGTTTATTGGGTGTTTTCAACCTGTCATCTGTTGGGTCTGAATCATTGGTCTCATCCTGCAGGGGTCCACTCAGCGCCTCCGCCAGACGAGAGCTCCCATCATAAACACGGTAGAATACTGGCTGTAACTGGTGGGCATACCACTTAGGCTTATCGCCTATTAGAGAGGGGTCATACACATCTGAAACACACACACACACACACAGTATAATTACCGACTACACACAAAATGGGAAAAACATAATGGACAGTCTTCATAGTAAAACTAAATGCAGGTAAGTGTAAAGCTCTATTTACAATGCAACAAACAACAGCATACAGACTGGAAGTCTCAACTGAAGAGGGGGCTGAGTGGAGTTCTCACCCTCTGCAGATGTGATTTTAGTTTTGCATACTATATCTACTGTACATAAATATATATAATATACTACAGTATTATATGTAAATACTGTAACTTGTGCAGATATATGGTGAGTGACTTTCTGAACGGATTTGATTTATTTACACAAGGTGAGAATAAACAATAATTTCTAATTTTCATAAACAACTGATAGTTCTCCAGAACAGGCATTTTAGCGTAACCCATAATATGTTCCTTCTAAAAGTGTTGGCGATAATTTTTATGGGCAACTATTCATACATTATTAATTTATTCTACCATGGTCAATAAAAACAGGGTAAATTCTCTTACTGTCAGTGTCTACAACTTCCACTAGGGGGCGAACTGTGACAGTCAAATCTGGGGGGTCAAAGCAACTTAAGGACAAATGATGAGGTATATCTATGTCTCTCACTGTTATGAATCCTTTGGAAAGCCAGGTTGGTGGGCTTGAGAGCCCACTCTCCATAGTACTCCACTGCCTGGGTGTGGGAGAGCTTTTCTGTGAATCCATTCCGCCGTGGCCTAGAGGCCAGGAAAGACGTGGCCTGGAATGCCACCACAGGGCGGGGGAAGAGACGCAGAGTGCGAGTGTGCATCTGGAACCCTTGCAGCACATTTGGAGAGTTGAAGAACCTCACCATCGCCACCCTAAGGGCAAAATTAGAAAAAACAAAACATTTCTATTATGTACTTAATATGGCGGAATTGTACAAATATTAGTATATTTTTTAGGCTTGGTTCAAATATTGTGTTTTCTGGACCGCTAACAAAAACAACAGGTCTTATTCGCTAATTATTGTGTGGACTACACATATTTATAAACACAGGATATCCTCTCATGGAAAATTACCGCCTGATTCACAATTTGTTCTTAACCTTATTTTAAAGTTAATGAATTTGAAGTATTCAAAATGAATGACAGCACACCCAAGGACAGACATTTGCATAACATGCAAACATGCCCAAACAATTTAGGAAGTTTCTTTTTTTCATAAATACATTTTCATTAAAAACTTATTTTAATATGAAAGTTATTGATGAATCATGATTTGTTCATGAAAGCGATTGTATGCAGATATCACACAAATTTGCATGTATACACGTTAGTGAATGAGACCCATTGATTGTTTAGAAACTCATGGAGGCCTACAAGCAAACATTATGGCTTCTGGCCAGGTCTTCCATATGTTTAGAAAGAATCATTATTTTTTAGCTCCAATTGGTACTTCAAATTACACCAAAACCATGTTCTATTAACCTAGCAACTCTACCAGCCACTAATTCATGTCACATTTGATACAGTATGCAATACTTCACCATACCTTGTGGCAACATCAACTGAGTCCACATCATTGCCATAGATGAGTGGGTTGAACTCAGTGGAGGAAGGGGAGGCTTTGTCACGAACAGGGGGCAATAAAGACAACTCTTGTCCATCCTGAAACTTCTCCAGGTTTAGAATAGGCTGTGTGTTCAGACTCATGCTAGCCAGAGCCTACATAGAGGAGTAGACGACACAGAGCGAGAGAGAGAAAGAGAGAGGTGGAGGAGGAAGATGGATACAGGAGAGATCAATTTAACAATGAATCCTGACAAGGGGAGACTGATGTAAGAGCACTATCGCCTCAGGCAATCATGTCTCACATTGGAGGCCTACGGTTACCAAGTTCTGTGTAAAGATCTAATGAATGGCAAAGGTAAAGTCATAGTCACTATTTTTATTTAAACAAAATTGCGCATGATTAGATTAAAGGGATAGTTCACCCAAAAATGTAAATTCTGTCAAAATTTACATGCCTTGATTTCGGTTTATGGTAAGCCGAAGCTCAAACGTGAACAAATCCTAATTGGTTCACGCACATCAAACAAGTACATTTGAGCTTCGGTTTACCATATTTGATGAGCTCTATGTGAGTGTTGATAGATGAATCATATAAATAAATCTTAATATAAATCTGTTCATCATATAAAGCCATTATGTCTCTTCTGAAGATTCACATGGATTACTTTTACAATGTCCTTATTGTCAATGTTTAGGTCAAATGTGACCCTGTACCACAAAACCAGTCTTAAGTCGCACAGGTATATTTGTAGCAATAGCCAACATTGTATGGGTCAAAATTATAGATTTTTCTTTTATGCCAAAAATCATATTCATTCATATTTTGTAAATTTCCTACTGTAATATATCAAAACTTAATTTTGGATTAGTAATATGCATCGCTAAGGACTTCATTTGGACAACTTTAAAGGAGATTTTCTCAATATTTAATTTTTTGCATCCTCAGATTCCAGATTTTCAAATAGTTGTATCTCGGCCAAATATTGCCTAAACCATACATCATCTGAAAGCTGAATAAATCAGCTTTCCATTGATGTAAAAATCTCAATTTCAAAAAATTTACCCTTATGACTGGTTTTGTGGTCCAGGATCACAAATGGACTTTCAGAGGAGGGAAATAAATCTCTCAGGCTCCATTACAAATGTCTTCATTTGTGTTTCGAAGATGAGTGAAAGTCTTATGGATATGGAACAACATAACGGTGAGTAACTGATGACAGAATTTTCGTTTTTGGGTGAACTATCCCTTTAAAATTCAGAAAATGTTACATGGGGATAAGAGAGAAAGCTATTGCCTGAACCGACGGTGTTGCATCAAATATTAAATACGGTAGTCAAAATGTTAGAGGGAAGGGTGCGGCCATCACATAGAGCCATTAACAAAGCACTCTGGGAATTCTGCCATTGCTCACTCAATGCCTCTCAGCTGGCATTCCATCAGACCCTGCTCTCACCACGCCATTTGGCCGGCACGCTACCAAACCAATCGTATCATCTGCTCCTACTGCTTACGATGATTTTTTTGCTTTGGGTTATGAGCACAATGTAAGTGAGATGTTGCATTGAAACATGCTCAAGCCAAACATAGTGCTATGAGATACAGGGGGCTTCTGTAGGGCCTTCATTGCACAAAGAGAAGGGAGGGAAGAGTGACAGACAACTCTCAAACAGAGTCACATGTGTGTGTATTTGTGAGTGTTTATTCAAAGGATGTGGAATAAAGAAGTATCTGTATGGCTTCAGTATTTGTTAAGTTTACAGAGAGTGTAGGGCTAGAGGTGTTGATGAAGGGGGAGGAGATTATAGTTATTTTTCCGTGCACAGTCAAAATGCAAAGATGTGTGAACCTTGGAATCAGAGGCGAAGATCTGCTTTTGGGTGATCACAGTCAATCTTACCAGACACTGACGGACACAAGAAAACATGGAGGAAATGTCACATGACTGCCTGTCACTGAGAAAGATTGGGAAATCATGTGACTAAACATGAGTGGAGACAATTCAAGGATGGGGAGAAAGCACAGAGAGACAAATAGAGCGAGGACACAACACACCATGAACTGGACAGTATGAGTGCACACAGGACATATAACACACCAATCTCAAGAAAATCAGTGGGTTATCAGGTGGAAAGGGAAGCAAATCTCACACAAACTTGTCATTGGAGAATGTGTACAAATCTCAAAACTTGACTGCAAACATTATTTGGTAGGTGTTAGTCAACTCAAAATGACATTCTCAACCTATTTTGCCTATACTTCATTAATATGATGCTTTTCAGAGTGAAACAGGATTTTCAACAAACAAAAAGTGAAACAGGTTATTCTTTTTGGTGACGTTACCCAAAAAGAAATTACATTCTAGTGAGATTTTGTGGAAATATTATGACATTTTGTTCCTATGAATGTGCATTAAGGAAGAAAGAGAGTGAATTTTGATTTCATGTTGATGGTAAGGATGTTACATAACATTTCCTTAAAATCTAAAGCTTAAATGAGTGAGAAAGAACTAAATTACAGTCACAAGAAAAGTATGATTTTCATATTGGCTCATGGAGCTCTTGAGCTACTATGTGTGTTTCATGAATGATAAGGCAATATTGTACATCTAAAGACCACTGAAAAAGATCAAATTCAATCTAAATCAGCTTTTAGAACAATAATGATCTGAAGATGAGAACCTGACTCATGATGATTCATAATGGCGAATGAAGAGTCATGACTCATGGTCTGTGAGACACAACTGATTATTCAGTGTATTGACTATTTTGGCTTGAGTTATTACAATGACAGCATGATAATTATGTTTGATGCAAGATGAAACAAAATGGTAAATCAATTTGGCTGAGAAATGTTGTTGTAGACCAGCAAAAACAACAGATTGTGACCAAATTAAATGCATCTCTATTAAAAAGACATAAGGAAGGACAGAGTTGGTCAGTATATGACAATGATTATATAGTATAATACAGATTATACAGTATATGACAACACAGTGAAATATTTAAACAGTTGGTATCAATGGGGTTTGATTAAGCTCAGAGGTGCCAGAATCAGGTCAGAAACTCTAGATAAGGGACTATGTGGGTGTGACGAGAGGGGCGGGCCGAGAGCGAGGCTGGTGGAGTAAATGCTAATGCGGGATACCTGTGCCACTCACCGGTCTCATGTCCCACGGAGGAGCTCCGGAAGGATAAAAGGAGGAGTTACGACAGTGTTGGACGAGAGAGGACCAGGCCTGTATTTTATTTTGTGTTTTGGTTCTGTTTGTGCACAACAGTCGTCCGCGAGGGGCTGTCGCGCTATTTTGTGTTTGCTTATTTTATTAAAGTTTTCTTTAAATGTTCGCCAGTTCCCGCCTCCTTCTTCCTGTGACTACGAACTTTGTTACATTGGTGCCGAAACCCGGGAGGAAGGAGGGACACGCTGTCAGAGAGCCCTCGCTGCTGAGGAGATCGGGCAGCAGGAACAAGCGGAGAGATCCCTCCGCCGCCCGGTGGACGGCGACGGCTCCTCCGGGTTCGGGCAGCCGGCAGGAGTCCCCCGTTCCCTGCTCCTCCCCATCATGGCGGATGGCAGCAGGCTCCAGCCTCAGGCGAACGGCGGCGACTCCTCCGCTCCCTCACGGACGGCAGCTGTCCCTCCACAGCATAGGCGGCCGGCAGCGAGTTCGTCCGCCCCCCCAGCAACTCACTCAAGCCCACCGCCTCGAGCCTCCATGGCGGCAGACTGCTCTGCCATGCTCGATGGCACCACGGACTCACCACAGCGGCGAGGCGATCCCCCTCAGCAGCAAGGGCTCTCTGACAGCGTGTCCCTCCTTCCTCCCGGGTTTCGGCACCATTGTAACAAAGTTCGTAGTCACGAGAAGGAGGCGGGAACCGGCAAATATTTAAACATTTTAATAAAATAAATAAACACAAAATTAAAGTAAGGCGGCAGCCCCTCGCGGACGACTGCCGCACACAAAACACAAAATAAAATCGAGGCCTGGTCCTCTCTCGTCCAACACTGTTGTAACTCCTCCTTTTATCCTTCCGGAGCTCCTCCGTGGGACTCGAGACCGGAGAGTAGCGCAGGTGTCACGCATTAGCATTTACTCCACCGGCCTCGCTCCGTTCCCACGGCTCTCGGCCCCGCCCCTCTCATCACAATGGGATTGTAAAGGGTTAAGCGAGAGAACTAGAACCATTATTGAGTCTATAGATAGGGAAACTCAAAACGTGTTACCTCCAAGAGCTGGAACAAAAAAAAGGGGAGAATATACAGTCATTACAATACATAAGTGATCATATAAAACATGAATCCGTCAACATAAACCCTAGAAACATCAGAAAATGTCTAATTTTATGTCTGCATTTGGCTTCAAATGACAGGGTTTAAAGAATATATTTGCATTGTCAGCCTTCTCTTTGGTTTAAATGCAATTAGAATTGGCCGTGTTTACAACAGCCGTTAGAAGACAGTATAATTACTATGCATTTCTTCTAGAATTCAGTTAGTATCTAATTCCTATTCAGAGCTAATGGTAGGGGCTCCTTAGAGAAAAGAGGACATCTGGTTTGCTTACCTGCTTCAAGTGTTTCTTCAGCTCAGAGGCCTCAGGTTCAGGAAGGGGAGGGAGCAATTCTGCGTTGCTTGGAACAGTGACCTACATTGATAAAGATATAGAAGTAACATAAGACCACTATAGTATATACATAATTAATTGTTAAAGGCTTTACAACATGGTAGAATCCACAAACCCGTGTGGGTAGTTACAGATAGATATACCTTGTTGCAGTCCAGATCCACTAACCAAACGTCATCAGGCATCTTAAAATCAGACTTGTACAGGAAGAAACTGGCAGGCACACCAATGACATATGGAGTGGGTGCTAGCAGGAGCTAGAAAAAGAAGATATGTGTGTGACAAATAAAGAGAGCTTCATTGTTTATACACCAACTGTTCAAAAAAGATGTTGTGTTACCTGTTCTGCGGAGGCCATGCAGGTGGGCAACAGTGGAATGACAGGAAACATGTACTCAAGGGGGTAAATCATTGAAACAAATGCCATGACGCTCATTGAGAGAGCGTTATAATCTCGGGACTGCAGTACCACCTACAGACAGCAGAGGGTGAGAGTAAATCTCCCTGTCATTACCAGTGTGACCCGCATATTCTAGCTTCATCATTTGAAACAACAGATCTATAGACAACAACCATTAACCTCAGCCATGACAGTATATTTTAAAAACAGCCTAAAATTATTGCTTCCTCTCAAGTGTCAGCCTGTTCAACACTCTCGGTAAAAACAGTGCAAATTATTTCAAATAATTATCACTGGTACCTCTCACTATGCATGACTGTCTAATTAAGGATAATAAGGATATTTCTGAGACATTGTGACAAAATAAAACCAGCTTACACATACACGTGTATATATATATATATATATACACACACACACACACACACAGCCGTGGTCAGAATTGTTGGCACCCTTGGTAAACATGATCAAAGAAGGCTGTGAAAATAGATCTGCATTGTTAATCATTTTTATCTTTTATTTAAAAAATTCACATAAATCTAACCTTTCATTGGAGAATAAGAATTTAAAATGGGGGGAAATATCATTATGACAAATGTTTTTCTCTCATACACATTGGACACAATTAACGGCACCCTTTTATTCTTTTTATACTTTTTGAAACCGCCATTTGCCAATTTAACAGCTCTAAATTTTCTCCTATAATGCCTGATGAGGTTAGAGAACACCTGACAAGAGATCAGAGACCATTCCTTCATCCAGAATCACTCCGGACCCTTTAGATTCCCAGCTCCATGATGGTGCTTCTCCTCTTCAGTTCACCACACTCATTTTCTATAGGGTTCAGGTCAGAGGACTGGAATGGCCATAGCAGAAGCTTGGTTTTGTGCTCAGTGACCCATTTTTGTGTTGTTTTTGAGGTTTGTGTTTGGATTATTGTCCGGTTGGAAGATCTAAACATGGCCCATTATACGATTTCTAACAGAGACAATCACTTTTTGATTTTTATCTGTTGGTATTTGATAGAATCAAAGATGCCATGTATCTAAACAAGATGTCCAGGACCACCAGCAGAAATATAGGCCCACAACATCAAAAATACAGCAGTATATTTCATTGTACACATGGTGTACTTTTTATCCCTGTGTGCAACAAACCCATCTTGAGTGTTTGTTGCTAAAAAAGCAAATTTTTTTTGTTACATCTGACCATAGAAGCCAGTCCCATTTGAAGTTCCAGTCGTGTCTGACAACAGAATATGCTGGGGATTGTTTTTTGATGAGAGAATTTTCTTTTCTTGATTTTTTTCTTGATACCCTCCCAACTACACTACACCTACACTTTTCTCATCCTAATTTTACAAGTTGAATGTTACAAAACAACACACGCACAGCGCTGACTGACTCTGATAACGGCCGGGTGTTCTCCGAGTCCGATCGACTCGGGTATTACACACAATGTTAAACAGACCCGGGACCCGAAGTAATAGATTGGGACCCGACCCAGACACGGCTGACCATTTAAAATATAGCCCCGAACCTGTACGGATCCCGGGTCGGGTCCCGGGTCCTCGGGTCACGGGTCCTCCGTGTAGACCTCTAATATGGTGCATCCTTATACAGTGAGGTAAATGTAAGCATAGCCACACCACAGATGCATTTCGATACAGATGCATATTGTATTTCTGTACATTTACTGTGGTGGTACCATGTTCTTTGACATATCTTGGAGTACCATGAAAATAGTACACAAATATAGTAATCTATGGGTCTCTGCCATCTGATAGAGTTGTGGTTGTGTTCCTCTGGCCATCCATACCTTGTGTTCCAGCAGAATGCAGGCCAGGACCTGCAGACAAGCATCAACTCCCAGCAGCTCCAGGGGCAGGTGGAGAGGGAAGTCTACAATGCTGAAGCGGGAAGGGTCTGGAAGGGCAAAGGTCAGGGCAGGCTGCAGTTCATGGGGGAGCACTTCCACGTCAACACGTCGCTGACCAGCAACAGGCACAGGGGAGCGCAGCAGCCGATACACCCATGACTCGATCTCCCTCAGGTCCTGAAGCACCTGACTGCCCTTTTCCTTTTCCTCGACGGAGAGAGCGCCTGTGAACACACGCCACATTGTGTCCCTGAGGGTGAGAAATACACACACAACACAAGTGTTTGATCAGGATCAGGGTTCGGGTTCAAAAGTACAACCAAGGACAAGTATGACCAGCTCTCTTTCCATTGTTTTGTCTTTGTTCATACTGCTCCTCAGTTCCATTTCATTCCTTGAATTTTTTGAACATTCAATTGTTCATTAACTAGTTTTTGAACTTTCCAGTACATTCAGATATTGTCTTAATCTAATGATTTATTCTAGCATCTACACAGAAAACAGAAATAGCACAAAAACAGTGGCAGCTGGCTTCTACTGTTCAGGATTAAACTACTAATCACTTGAAGTAAAACGGCACAGCAGTGACCAGGAACACAGTTCAAAAGCTCTACAAGCACTAGACTACACCATATCATACACAACAGTGGTCACTTACTGTTTGCATTACCATATATTCTCATTCTTAATGCAAATATCTAATCGGCCATTCATGCAGCAGCAAATCAATGCATAATTACATCATGTTCAATTGGCCGAATTATGCAAACCAAACATTAGAATGAGGAAGAAAATATGGCTGCACGGTTAATCAAAATAAAACTATCAAATCCAAATACTATGCTTTAATTTAATAAATATATAAGCTGTGTGTTTTACATTGAGTGAAGTGTGGTAAAAACTGCAGGGCTAAACTCAGCCCATGGACTCTTCAGATTTTGGTAGCCCGAAAATTTATTTAACTAGCCCCAAAAATAAATATAGAAAATCAGATAGGAGTTTAAATGTCAATCAAAAATATTTTGAATACTCAAATATCAACAAATATGAAGGAAGGAATTTTATTTCACTATTTACAGGATATCTACAGAATTTTTTACAAATAAATTTAAGGCGATTTATGACCCATTTTAAGAGCTGCACAAGTAAAATGAATGAGTGGGTTGGACAATGTCTGTGGTAACATACAGTACTGAGCCATAAAATTACATGATTTACAGTTCAGATACAGGTTTTCACAAAAACAAAAATCTTATACAACAGCATTTCAGCCTTTAGACCATTTTTATGAAAAGGGATAATTTAAGCCAATAAATTATTGTCAATTTAAAACGTATAAATATTACGGTCTTAATTGTTCAGATTTTTAGAAGGCACATTAACTTCTTTCTCATTTACAACTCTATGTGTTTGCTGCGTAAAAACATGAGTTGATATTTGCATTGATCTGACCATAAACAGCAAGAAAGTCTAATTGGAAATGCAAATTCATTCTCTCTCTGAAATATTATGTGAAATACACAAAGCAGCTCCACGCTCATAAACGCTGCTTTATCAGGAATATAATTTTAAATTGAAACGTGCAGCGCACATATTTATTCAATGACATCATTGCCTTTTGAAGTTTAATCCAGCCGTATCGCGATTCTTGTCTTTCCGTCCCCAACTGTAAGACCTCTTGAAATTATAATTAAGACATTTCTTATACCATTTAACATTTAAAACTTTTTATGGCCTTAAGTTTGATACAACTCACTTTGAGTTTTTAAGGACCCACGGGAGATCTGCATTTAAGATAGCCTGTCAGGGTAGAGTGGTGATACATTTTGGTAGCCCGACTGGAAAACACAATAGCCCCGGGACGTCAGGCTAGCGATTTTGCGAGCCCTGAACTGTGTTCATACAAACAAGCACAGCAAACCTGGAACTTTTTTTCTTTACACATTTTGAATTACAATCACAATTTTATCAGAAAAAAAATTCACGATTCGATTTTTTTGAAATTGTGCAACTCTATGAAGGAATGTTATCAACATGACTTTAACCATGGGATGATAAAAACAGAGTGGTCTGAGTATCTCAAGATCCTGCTAATCTTCTGGGATTTTCACATACAGCAATCTCTAGTTTGTCTAGAAAATTGAACAGTACAAGATTGGCAAAGTCAGATATAAACAACACAAATCCATGGATCCATCTTGCCTTTTCAATCATTCAAGGTGCTGGTGGCAGTTCTGTATTTGTCTGGGGAATATTTTCTCAATAATACTCTCAGTATAACTCAATACCAACAGAGAATCACTGGTATCAAGTATTATTTATCCAGACCGAAACCAAACCAGTTCTACAAAAATGAGTACAGTGCTCTCCAAAAGTTTAGAAGCGCCCTAGGCAAAAAGGGGTTTTGGATAATATCAGCATAAATCCTTATGATTTCTTGCCATAAATGCATGACAGTATAGTGGTTCTCAAAACCAGGGGGCCTTAGCAAGGGGGCAGCAGGATGACTAAAAACTATTTAACAAAATATTTCAGTTTGTATTTTAAATAGGGCTGCACGATAAATATTGCACGATATTTAATGCGCATCTCGTCAGTAAAGCCGGTTCTGTAATCATGTGCGTGCTTTCACGTGAAGCAGCATTAACTACACAGAGCAAAACATGCGCAAAATATGATCGTGGTTTTGCGCAGCTTGTCAGTGAACAACGGCTCGGTGTAGTAAATGCTGCTCCACGTGAAATCACACACGTGTAGAGATTTACCGCTGATTACAGAACCGGCTTTACTGACGAGATGCGCATTAAATATAGTGCGATATTTATCGTGCAGCCCTAATTCTAAATATGTCAAGTCAAAAGAGTTGATAGCATTAAAGTAACTTGCAATTATCAATGAAGACCAGAAATGATTCTCATTTTGCTTATAATAATGGTTTAAGTTTGTCAAGGCTTTTCAGGTCAATCATTTAGGCCAACATAACAGTTCATATCAATTCACTGGAGCTCAAATATGCAAGCACAGCGTCTAAAATCCAGACAGGCCAGACTATAGTTGTGTGGGCTGAGTAGAGGTGCTGCAGTAAGTCATAATTGCTTCATCTGAGAACTCCCACATCTCACAGCTGCTCTCTGAGAACAGTCAGTGGCCTCAATCTGTCATACAGCCCGTCTCCACCAGCTCCACGCACTCGCTTCAGCTCTTAACATGTTTTGTTCTCTCGCACTCTACCTGTCTTTTTCCTTCTACTGTCAATTTGTATCGTCAAAACCACTGAGACGTCTTCATTAATTGTGTTGTTGCTGCATAGTTAAATTGTTGCATATTAACAGAGGCCTGTTTAGGGACACAAATGCTAATGAATATCAACTCTCTAGCCAACCACAGTTCTGCAATGAAAAGCGATGATGCTAATGCAGTGTTTCCCCTGCCATTATTTTAGGGTGGCCCGCCCCCCCTTGAAGGTCAAGTTAATTTTATTTAATTATATTTTCTCTATAGCGCCAGATCACAACAGAAGTCATATAAAGTTACCTTTCCTATAGAACATGTCTATACCTTCTTCTTTTATTAAGCAAACTAAATAGCTTTATGTTATTTATCTTATTTACAGGATGGCATGTCATTTCAGTCTCTACGTTATGGTCGCGCTCTCTGTATCACGCACAGCGGCATTCCGCCCGTATGGCGTTCGGACGGGATCTTTAATATGACGTTGCAACATGCACTCGTCTCACTGAACGTGACGTCTGCGTGACATCTGCGTCTACCACATGTTTGCTGCAAGGGTTTCCAGCCCATTCCATCCCCTTATTTGTGCTTTATTATACCTATTAATTCTCTATTATTGTTTTCACTTATCCTCAATTATGTTTAAATGTTTAAAGTGCTTTTTACCTTTATGTATAGCTTTTTATTCCAAAAAGTAAATATTTATACAAATTATATAAATAATTCTGTATGACATTGCTTCTTGTCCACATATCCACAGATACTTATGAAGAAATCATAAAAATAAGTTGTTCTAGCATGTATTCACCACTAGGAGTCTCTAGACCAACACAAAATTACGCATTTTTAAACATTGCTATATTTTGGGCTAATTTAACTAACAAACAATATTTGTAATTTTTTATTTTGGAGTTGTAATATTTAGTTTTATAGTTTCGCCAAAGTGATTGACAGGCGATCTGACAGATTTATACTAAAAAACATTTAATTATTATTTTTTATTTATTTATTTAATTTTTTTTAGCCTAAACGTTTTTGCAGATGCATAAAAACATTTATTTGTATCAACAGCTGCAGAAAACCCAGAAGAGAATTAACATTTTAGAGCCAGGGTTTCTTTTTCAATTCTTCCATGTTTTTTAACCTCCATAAAAAAACATAAAAAACATAACCTTTGATATTCATTCATGTGCTGTTACTAAAAGAGATAATGGATCAGTTCACGTGCTGCTTGAACTGTGACGCTAGAGTCAACAAACTCTGGGTCTATTTAGTGTTTGAACTTTTTGCCAAAAAATTTAAGCTGACACTTAGTTTTATACTAAGCATTGCTTTGTTCCGCAATGTATTTTCACTGTATGGCATGTGACTTGTCGGACATAGCAAAAGTAGGCTTTGTTTTTGCGAAAGGTCAGTTGTCATTTGTGGACAACTTATTTACAGATGAGGGGAAACCAAAGAGTGTTTAGCACCTGCAGGAAAAGCAGGGAATCATGTATGAACATTTATTGAAATTGTTCTAAAAAATAATTTTTAAAAATGTAAACGAATGCATTACAAGTTTTTTATTACATGCTGAATAACTGACTGTACCTTTTACTTCCAGTTTTCCAGTCGCTTTAGTACATTTCTCAGATCACAGCTGAAATTCTCAAAACTATGTTTAACCTTCACATCATCTAGCCACTTGTGCTCATCATTACATCAATTTGTCGTATTTTAAACAAGTAGAAAATGCTTCGGTACAATTGATTATAGTTGTCTGCTGTTTCCTACATTATCAATTGCTTATGTCATGTTGCTCAAAAAGTACTGGTTCTCTGTTGAATAGTGTAACCCAGTGGTCACCAACCTTTTCAAGCCCAAGATCCCTGACCTCAGCCTTGATGAAAGGCAAGATCTACCTACAGAGGGACAGGTAGAAAAAGACAGCCCATAGTTCCTTGAGCCCTTTTATTTTTTTAACGTGATATTGATATTGTGAGTGCACAATTTTTTGCAGTTCCGAACGATGTATAC